GATCCAGGATAGAATGTTCTTCCTAATAGCTTTGACGGAAGAACATTTGTCGGAATTGAAACCCACTTCCAGGGACGAAAGGTCATAGGCTACCACTCTCCAGGAACCAGGATATAGATTAGCCATTTGATGGCACCACTCATGTTCCTTCGTGCTGCTTGAATAAAGACCTCTCGCTTCTACTATGCATCTCAGCTCATTCTCAGATCCTCTTATGTAATATACAACGCCTAATACATTTGCCTCTCAGAGATGATCTATATCCTAAACAAATATGAGGCGTATTATTGATTTTGATAAAGCTAATTCATGCAAATTTTGATGCGCTTTGTTTTTGGTAAGCTTGATAATAATGGAAATAAGAAACCGAATTGGCTGCTTGAATAGTATGGTTTTGCACCTTCGCTTCGCTGCGATCTGGCCTTCATACAGATCAATGCTATCAAGTGTTGAATTAGATGCCTAGCTGTCGTAGGTTTTTTATTGTTGCTTAGCTATGGTAAACCTTCCAACCCCCCCTCCCCATTGTCACCGTTGTCCAGCTCTCAATTCTTTAGAATTATATTTGAAAAAATGAAATTGGCATGTCTACTTTTTAAGTACATAGTTTTCCAGTATCCATAGTGACAATGATTAAAAATTTAGGAACATGATCTTGGCCTGGTTCACTGTAGGAGGACGTAAAAATTGTAATGTCTTGTAAACTTGCTGATTGAATATTTCTTGCATGGGCTGATTTTGCTCATCTAAAGGTGTATCCTTGGATGTGGGGTCAAGTAAATTGACGGGATCAAGCGGGTTGAGATTTGTGATAGGTACAGGTATTCGACTCTTGGGAATTCTAGAGCTTTTGGGATAAAATCATTGTGAGCTAATAATGCCACTATCTTACTGGCTGGGTAATGGATGTTAATAATAGAACCTGAATTGAATTTAGCTTTGCAAAGTTTTGAGCAATTTTCCTAGAATGGTTTTCGAAGGCAGATGTACTGAAATTCTTGGTTTTCTGAGACTGGTGTAAACAATCGCAAGTCGCCTTTACAAATGGCCGTCATCTGGGTACCTGGTGCGGGTGCATTCGGTGATAGGGTGGAGTTGGCATATTCGGACTGCAAAGATGGGAATTCCTAATCTTGTATGCTTGTTATTGGATTGGGGCTTGTGGGCTAATAGGCGTTGCGTAACATTTCATGCTGATTTGATTCCGGACGTTCCAGGCGTTTGATAACATCAGTAACTTGGTCTTGTGGTATTTGTTGATTAATATTAATGGAATTGAGCTTGTCTTTCATGTTTTGTACACGTGAGTCGACAGTGGATGAGAAAAACGATATTCTGTTTCAGCCTCTCAAATTGAGGGACTAGAAAGTCTTGGAGGCCTTCCAGTATATCAGACAAAGATTGACAGGTAGTTGTAGGGCAAGAACGAAGGAAGGTAATGGGAGCTGCTGCAACTGCGTTGCAACCTTCTTGTTATATTTCGTCTTTTCTGAGGGAGCCGTAAAATGTTGCTTCTTGGGCAGAGAAAAGGTAAGAAAAGGATCTACGTTGTGATGTTAGGGTGGAGAGTCTACAAACTTGTTGAACGAGTAATCAAGAAAACTATCGATGTAGATTATGTTGCTGGTGTATGCGCTGATGTGGGTGTCACATGTTGTTAATATCTAGTAGTTGGCGTACATTCAAACAGGAAAATAGATTAAAGATGTTGACGATAATGTAGTGTACAAATGCTGCATGAAACTTGAGCTCTTTTTCACATCGTCCTAATAATAGCTTTCGTTATATATCATTGTATAAGCAAAGATGGGTTTCGAGGAAAATCCCCTCTCCCAACTCTGATATAACTTTTTTATAGTATTGATTGAATGGTTATGGTCTTCGGCGAAAGCCCACAGGGCGACGCCATCATCGAGAGTAGCGAGATCGTTCGGCTACTAGAGAGGTTTGATTAGTACCTAGATAATAAATCTCTACTACTCAAAATAACAAATGTTCATTTGAAGAGAAGGCTGGCAGGCAAGTTGCAATGAAAGACTCACGCATGCTACTTTGGATTTGATAGGTTAAACAAATGCTCATCATATGCTGCTGCTGAGCAATATATTCCAAGTTGAAGATGGTGATACACTAAAATAACAGAATGCAGAGGCTGATATAAACAGCGTGGTTTTGGCTTAGTTCTAGCTCGTCGCTCATTAGTTTAGTAGTCGTTATTTCGTGGGAAGTATTCAGCACTATATATAACCTTATGCATGCCAAGTACCTATTATCGTCAAGTATTTGGCAATGCCAAGAATCACACAATCATGAGTTATGCTTTTTAACCACGATTAGTAATAATAATAATGATTACAAATCATTACGTATGTCCGCGTAGTCCTGATTACAAATCATTACCCACGTCCTCGTAATAATCACTCATGTCTCGGCGCTTATGTCCGCACCTTTTGTCAAGTATAAATATCATGCCCCTTTCCACTTCATCCGTTTCCAATGGTAAATTATCTTCTATATCCTTTCTTACCTTAAAACAATTATTCTTCAATAACAAACCATCTCAATCAAGTCAAGTATCAAGTTCCAAGTTTCAAGTCCAAGTCCCAAGTCCAAGTTCCTGACAAGAATACAAGTATAATATGGTCAGTATACAGTGTGCAGCTACCTTGCGATGTGTCAACTAACTGGTGATTCAAGGATCTTTTCTGCCTGGTGTCTGGTTGGTCTGTGGCTTTTCATCCAAGCGAAAAGCCTTCTTTTGTATGCTTTCAAGTCAGAAAACATACCAAGCTTACACTATTTCGCTTGTATTTGAAATGGTAGACTGTGCTTATGCTTAATGTTCGACTGTCTTTAAACTTACTCGAGAAGCCTAACGGCACCAATGTATTCAAAAGTCTGGTATATCAGGTAGTTTATTCATGGTAGTCTATGGCAACCCTATCCTCGGTCTATTTTTCCTTGCTTGGTAGATTTTGAGACGCGGCCACTGTCACGCTACCCCCTTTTTTTTCTCTCTCACGTTTCCTCTTTTTTTTTTTCCAACATATACACACCCTTTACAGTCAATTTTATTTTTTATATTTTATTTTTTTCTTTTAGCAATGACGATCTTTAACTTTCCAAGTCTCTTCTTACTGAAACCAGCGGTGGTAGACCTAGTCAAAACTAGCAAAGGTGAATGGTGCTGGTAACGATAGTCTATTATGAAGGTAATAGTGCTAGCGGTGCATCCTAGTCGGTACCGTTCGAGTTCTAGGGCGAGTAGCTTTGTAGCTATTAGCATCTCCACTTGAGCTTCAATCTCATCAAGCAAGGTTCACCAACTGATTTGTGCGTCTTTGTCATCTTTTTGACTTTGCATGTTCATTTCAGATTTCCTTTTGGGTTCAACTAGTATCTCCCTTCTCGTGGGTGAACACCGTCAGTAATGTATTAGTATTTTCTACTACATGAAGCTAAATGATACTGCCAGAATAGTTCTTTTTTGTTATTTAATAAATTCAACTTGTATTATTTACCAGCTCCTCTTATTAATGTCTATTTGCGTTGTCTAAAATTTAATTAAAAATAATGAAAAGGTAATTCATGTTGAGGTGAGCTCCTGTTTCCATCATGTTATTTATTGAGCGATACAAAATACTGGAAGGTGTTGCAGAAGTATAGTTAATTGAGAAGATACACAAACCCAAAGAAAGAACCCTACGTATTATACTTTGATTGTTTTTTGGAAAGACAATTGGTACCGCCGTAACATTGAACAACTGTTTCTTTAAAAGCTTCTAATGTAAAATATCAATGACATACTGCCCGTTGTAAGCATATAAATTTAAATCAAAAAACGGATGGTCAGCAAACTAGGGCTAGATATTTTAGCTACTGCTGGATTGCGAGTGCGTAAAATCAAACTGCTGCAAGATGTATCAGAAAAGATGACAATAAAGACCCCCTCATTATTGAAAACTAAACTATGAGCATCACCGATGGACCTCTTAGTCAATCGTTTTTTTCATGAGCTTGACGGATATAAGAAGAGACATAGGAATTCCATATGCTGCTAGAAAATAAAAATCTTCCATACTTGACTCATTGGGAACTAATATCACATCATCACCTAGGTATGATGCCCATCTATTCTTGAACTTCACCGTCTCGCAGTAGTAGGCAGATGATGATTTCGTTTGATCTGTTCTATTCTCCTTGAATAAGCAAATAGAACTAAGCATTACAATTTTTGCTTCAATAGATTCGCTATGTCTTTTAATAAAGCAATGCGGATACCAACAGACGACATGTATAGACAGTAATCATACTGAATATGTCCGCTTTAATTGAATTGGTAATTAGTGTGTTGCTGTCAGTGCACGATAGATTTCGACCAACAGAACTCAGGAGGATACTATGATCCAACGCTCCAACTTTACCGACGAAACAACAATCGTATTTTTTTCCTAGGATGATGATTGATCCCATGCTGAATGGGGTATATGTACATTCAATGACAAAAGTAAAGTGAGCATTAGAGCAATTCAGATTGAACACCAATGCACTGATGCTTGGTTACTCCCATCTTATAAAATGATTGAGAATGCGTTTTTTACATCTATGCATTCATACATCCAAAAAGTGGCATTTTTTGCGTACATTTAGAAAGGTCACCATGTAACTTGTTTTCATCACTAAAACCCCCTATCATACTCGCCTTTAACAGCTTATTTTACTCTTTTATAGGGCTTTACTTCTATTGCAATGTGATTCGCTGATGCGCGTAAAACAGCCAGCATTCTTCCATCGCCCCATCATCCAGGAATTTGAGATATACAGTAACACTTGGATGAATTTGAGGCCCAAGCTCTGGCGTCAGAAATTGTTGTAAGCCATTGGAATAGCACCAAATAGTTGCTCTCAACCATGAGTCATTTTTTAACAGCTTTACTCAATTTTTGGGAGCCGAAATTTCATCACCTAGAATTGGCCCCAAACTATGGGGGGCATACCTCATGAAAATCCTTGAAAATTCTTGTCTGGACACGGAAAGCAAACTCAATGATGCTGAGGCCTTTTATCAGGATTTGTACATGGATTGCCTGAACGCCATGTTGGGACATATCAATCGCACTTTATCATCGGAAGATACTGCACAGATTATGGAGTCAATAGATTATGATGATATCTTGGATGACGCCCGTCCAACACCCAAAGAGAGTAGCCCAGATCTAGAAGGCATTGGCTATGAGATACGTTACCTCCTTGTGTCCCATCCAAGCTGTCGGGACATTATCCACCAGGTATTCAATGAAGCTATCCATTTGGCAAAGTTCCCAACACCTTGGCAGGCCTCGTGTACCGTCATTCTACACAAGGTGCCAAGAGTGACCTCGCCAACTATCGGCCCATCGCACGTATTGCAGCTGACTGCAACGTTTTTACCCGAATAATGAACTCTCGAGCTGTCCAAGTTGCTAACAAGATTATCACCCCCTACCAATGTGGTTTCCTGCCAGGTCGTTATAGTGATGACCATGGCATGTCCCTAAGTGCTTCTACTGTAGGGGGAAAAACTGTCCCGTTCGTTTAATATTTTGTCTTTTTGCACAGGTTTTTGGTCATTTCTTTGTATACAAAGTCGAAATATATATCCTTTGAATGAGAGAAAGTAGTGCTATCTATACATAACTATAACTTTTTCAAAAACTAAAATCCAATGATTTTATTGGTTAAAAATAAATATAGAAAAATGTACATTTTATTATAAAATCTTTAATAGTGAGTTGAACCACCTTTGCTCTTGATGACAGCCTTGATTCGGGCAGGCATACTATCAATATATTTCTGGCACTCTTTTTCTGTTATTTTGTACCACTGAATGTTAATACGCCGCTCTAATTCTTCTTTTGTAGAGGGCCTACTGGGATACTTATTAAGACGAAGCTTTAGGAGATGCCAGACATGTTCAATGGGATTAAGATTGGGACTTTGGGGTGGCCAATCCATAATTTTGTCTAGGTTAAACCCATTGTCGGTGAACCATTGTTTAGTAATGCCCGATGTATGCGGTGTTGCTATGTCTTGTTGAATTCGCACATCAGATGGTGTCTTCCCAAAGTGCTCAAGAGTGTCGTTCAATGATGTCTTCGAAATATCGACAAACAAGCCCGAGTTTATTGCGTCTTCAATAATGGTAGTACCATAACCAGGCCCCTCCGCTGTTATGCAACTCCAGAACATGACCCCACCGTCATTTCTCTGCAACTGAGACTTGACTTGATACGACTGCATGATTCAGCCACCATTCGTCCAGTAAAAAGAATTACCATCTGAGCCCCAAAGGTTTATTCTTGTTTCATCCGAAGATACCCAACGACGCCAATCAGCAGTAGTAAGATGCCTATGCTTTTTAGCCCACGCCAATCGAAGCCGCTTGTTTACCTTGCTAACAAAATTTATCTTTGCTTTTATTCGAGATGTAAGACCATTTCTTTTCAATGACTTGCGGATGCCACCAATTGACATATCTTGACCCATCAATCTTAAACTTTCTTGCGCTGCTCCGGGACTATCTAAAGTACCTGGTCGAAGTTCTCTTGACATTAGGGACATAGTTTTAGCACCAAGTTTTTTCGGACTTCCGCCAAGAGGTCTAGCTGGGTCAGGGCAATATAGTTTTCTGAGCCTTGTAAGAGTAGAGTTACCCACTCCTGGATACAAATATCTTATCTTTGAGAACGACAGACCACGTTGGAGCAAAGATTGGAGAGTGTTGCGCAAATCTTGTGTTAAACGAGCAGGCATAATGAAAGTTTTGAAAAAAAATAAGAAAGCAAAGAAATAAAGAAAAAAATATGAAGAAATTAGCTTTTTTTTAATACTTTTAGAATGCTCCTCAGGTATTAAATATTCTGAGCATACCGCGGGTAGTTTTTTTTTAGATCTCTCCGATACGTTTATCGGAAGTAAAGATATCAACCATTTTATATTCTCTAGAATTATCCAACTAACATTTTTGCCACTTCTCACTTTAGCCTACAGTAATTATACTAAGTTCTGAATGCCAAATTAGCAATTTATCTCGTACAACGCTTATCACATCTGGTGAACCTCAGTATTTAGATAGCTGAGATGCACTTCAAATATCATAGCTTGTCCATGTTGTTGCACAACACAGACATATCTACCCATAAAGAATACCTTAATCTTTATAGACAGTTGTAGCCCTTCTGGCACAGCATCGATAATTCTTTCAAATTCAAGACCCCCATTTAATCAGCATCACAATCGTCATTGTGATCAACAAAAAGACACCTAGGTCAGCCAGCGGCAATACCGCCACCACCAAAATTGATTCAAACTCAGTTTATTTTTTCTGTTCAAGATTGACTTCCTTAATTTGTTTTGAGATATTCAACTATATAAATTGTAATAATCATACGATGCTTCCTAATATACTCTTGCAGTACTTTTCAAGGCGCTTCCAATGACACCAAGTAAAATACTTGTTCTGACTCAACTTAATGAGCAATTACAGCAAACACGAAATAAGGTTTTTGGCCAAAATGTCGAAATTTTGCATACAAAGACCTCATAAAGTGGTTTCAGAAGTTGCTTTGGATTCAAAGAAACATTTTGATTTAGTACTTACCATAGTAAAAGTCTTCATTTTCGAGGTGAAAAACGCCTTTGTTTAAATTTCAATGAAAACCATGAGGGGTACCTCATGGATATCCACCGTAATGTCATCTATCGCTTCCTCACACACACCATCCCTACCAAACGCCTGCTACATTACGTTGAGATAGCTGAATTGATGAATTCGTAAAAATAAGTCGATGATAATAATCAGTTGTCAACTGTATCTAAAACGAAAGCAAAGAGCTTCTTTATTACAGGGCATCTAGCTTGCTTAAATATGGTAGATCCCTGGTCAATGACTACTACGTTGAGATGGTATATAAATAGCAGGCCACTGGGGCCTTATGGATTGTTGGTATAGCTTGTTGAGAGGCCACCTAAGTCGATATGTTTCATGTAGTGTAGGTGGAACTCGATATCTTGACATTGGGGAGATTGAATGTATTGTAGTTCCTGAGGCACCTGTGCACACAAAATTGACTGGACTTGTAAACATAGATGTGATGTGATACGATAAACATCATCTATGCTGCTACACTGTAAAAGGTGGCTTGAGGAGAAAGTGAATGTAGCCTAAGATGCATGCTAGTATGCAACTCCTTTCTAAATGTACGCAAGAAATGCCACTTTTTGGATGTATGAATGCATAGATGTAAAAAACGCATTCTCAATCATTTTATAAGATGGGAGTAACCAAGCATCAGTGCATTGGTGTTCAATCTGAATTGCTCTAATGCTCACTTTACTTTTGTCATTGAATGTACATATACCCCATTCAGCATGGGATCAATCATCATCCTAGGAAAAAAATACGATTGTTGTTTCGTCGGTAAAGTTGGAGCGTTGGATCATAGTATCCTCCTGAGTTCTGTTGGTCGAAATCTATCGTGCACTGACAGCAACACACTAATTACCAATTCAATTAAAGCGGACATATTCAGTATGATTACTGTCTATACATGTCGTCTGTTGGTATCCGCATTGCTTTATTAAAAGACATAGCGAATCTATTGAAGCAAAAATTGTAATGCTTAGTTCTATTTGCTTATTCAAGGAGAATAGAACAGATCAAACGAAATCATCATCTGCCTACTACTGCGAGACGGTGAAGTTCAAGAATAGATGGGCATCATACCTAGGTGATGATGTGATATTAGTTCCCAATGAGTCAAGTATGGAAGATTTTTATTTTCTAGCAGCATATGGAATTCCTATGTCTCTTCTTATATCCGTCAAGCTCATGAAAAAAACGATTGACTAAGAGGTCCATCGGTGATGCTCATAGTTTAGTTTTCAATAATGAGGGGGTCTTTATTGTCATCTTTTCTGATACATCTTGCAGCAGTTTGATTTTACGCACTCGCAATCCAGCAGTAGCTAAAATATCTAGCCCTAGTTTGCTGACCATCCGTTTTTTGATTTAAATTTATATGCTTACAACGGGCAGTATGTCATTGATATTTTACATTAGAAGCTTTTAAAGAAACAGTTGTTCAATGTTACGGCGGTACCAATTGTCTTTCCAAAAAACAATCAAAGTATAATACGTAGGGTTCTTTCTTTGGGTTTGTGTATCTTCTCAATTAACTATACTTCTGCAACACCTTCCAGTATTTTGTATCGCTCAATAAATAACATGATGGAAACAGGAGCTCACCTCAACATGAATTACCTTTTCATTATTTTTAATTAAATTTTAGACAACGCAAATAGACATTAATAAGAGGAGCTGGTAAATAATACAAGTTGAATTTATTAAATAACAAAAAAGAACTATTCTGGCAGTATCATTTAGCTTCATGTAGTAGAAAATACTAATACATTACTGACGGTGTTCACCCACGAGAAGGGAGATACTAGTTGAACCCAAAAGGAAATCTGAAATGAACATGCAAAGTCAAAAAGATGACAAAGACGCACAAATCAGTTGGTGAACCTTGCTTGATGAGATTGAAGCTCAAGTGGAGATGCTAATAGCTACAAAGCTACTCGCCCTAGAACTCGAACGGTACCGACTAGGATGCACCGCTAGCACTATTACCTTCATAATAGACTATCGTTACCAGCACCATTCACCTTTGCTAGTTTTGACTAGGTCTACCACCGCTGGTTTCAGTAAGAAGAGACTTGGAAAGTTAAAGATCGTCATTGCTAAAAGAAAAAAATAAAATATAAAAAATAAAATTGACTGTAAAGGGTGTGTATATGTTGGAAAAAAAAAAAGAGGAAACGTGAGAGAGAAAAAAAAGGGGGTAGCGTGACAGTGGCCGCGTCTCAAAATCTACCAAGCAAGGAAAAATAGACCGAGGATAGGGTTGCCATAGACTACCATGAATAAACTACCTGATATACCAGACTTTTGAATACATTGGTGCCGTTAGGCTTCTCGAGTAAGTTTAAAGACAGTCGAACATTAAGCATAAGCACAGTCTACCATTTCAAATACAAGCGAAATAGTGTAAGCTTGGTATGTTTTCTGACTTGAAAGCATACAAAAGAAGGCTTTTCGCTTGGATGAAAAGCCACAGACCAACCAGACACCAGGCAGAAAAGATCCTTGAATCACCAGTTAGTTGACACATCGCAAGGTAGCTGCACACTGTATACTGACCATATTATACTTGTATTCTTGTCAGGAACTTGGACTTGGGACTTGGACTTGAAACTTGGAACTTGATACTTGACTTGATTGAGATGGTTTGTTATTGAAGAATAATTGTTTTAAGGTAAGAAAGGATATAGAAGATAATTTACCATTGGAAACGGATGAAGTGGAAAGGGGCATGATATTTATACTTGACAAAAGGTG